CTCGGTCGCCCAGATATTGAACTGTATACATACCATATGTACTGAATGACAGAAAACAAACTTTCACGTGATAACTCAGTACAGTGCTAGGTAGTAAAAATGCAGATATATGTATATCACGCGCATCTCTTAAATGATATTCCTGGATACATTTTACGAAGGGTGTTATGTGCTTATAGAACAAACAGTCCGACTTAAGAGACTGATTCAATTCGAATGCACCCCAATTAACAATTGTTTCATTTTCAATCGACTTCAATAAAAGGAGGAGGTACTCAATTCGACTGTTTTTTTCGTGTGTTACCTCAGAACTTTTTTCTAGGTTAACCAATTTATATGATTATTTTGTCTTATGTGGTCCCACATAAATTTGATCAAGATCTGACCAGTAGTTTTGGAGTTATCCTTAACAATGCTTATTTAATTGACTTCGACTAAATTGATGATGTTCTCATTTTATTTATATTGAAGTCGGTTTTTAATTTTGCCACTTGTTATCTATAAAATTGAAGTGACACGCGAACAGCCCACCTGCACCTACCTAATGGTAAGTGGCTATCTGACTGAAAGCAACGGACACCCGCAACTAACTTTAAACAAAGAAAGCTACAGACCGTTGTCATTAATAAGGACTAACATGGAATGCTTGTCCGTACTTAATAATTATACTGGCTCTACCCTTCAGTCCGGACTACAGCAGTGCACACACGCATTCTTTATTTGACACATTAGATATTAAAGTGATGGTACAGTAAATTTTATGTTAAACTAGCTGTGCCCCGCGACTTCGCTCGCGTGGAATTTATTACGACTTCATGGATATCAATTTTTTTTGCGCGGAACCCTAATTTTGTTTTTGAGTAATGTTACTATCTTATAAATATTGACAAATATTGACATTAATATTTATACGATACTAACGTCACTCAATTGTTTTGCCTTCCCGGAACCCCTCCACTAACACTTAAACTTTAAGGTATGGTATTAAAGTTCAAATTGACTTTTAAGTATTATTACGAATGTTTTGTATCGGAATATAGAAAAGTGTTGTTTTTAGACTTTTCAGGCATTTTTTAAAATTTTTCTCTCCGTTAGAATCATCTTCGTACTTCAAGGAATATTATAAAAAAAGAATTAGCGAAATCGGTTCAGCTGCTCTCAAAATTTGCGCTTAGCAACACATTCGATTCATTTTTATATTATAGATACCTTAATTTACCGTATAGTGGCGGTTTAAGAATATTAACTACCCCCCATATCATCCCGTAATGTTGTAAAAGGCGACAGAGGAAAACTAATCAGGAGATAGACAATAGCACCTTCCTAATGACAAATAAAAAATATTGGTAAATCCAATTGGGCATACCTTAAGCACATTAAAAAAATTACGTATAACATGATTATACGGAATTTTTAAAGTAGTTTAAATACATTTCGACAGCACTATCGGCTTCAACACCCTCGAAAACTATGAAAATGACACCCATGATGAAAAAACTGATACCTATTGCAGCCGCCATCTTGAATTTACATTTCGACAGCACTATCAGCTTCAACACCCTAGAAAACCATGAAAATAACACCCAAGATGACAAAATTGATATCTATCGCAGCCGCCATCTTGGATTTACATTTCGACAGCACTATCGGCTTCAACACCCTCCAAAACCATGAAAATGACACCCATGATGAAAAATATGGTACCTAATTCAGCCGTCATCCTGGATTTACATTTCGACAGCACTATCGGCTTCAGCACCCTCGAAAACCATGAAAATGACACCCATGATGAAAAAATTGATATCTATTGCAGCCGCCATCTTGGATTTACATTTCGACAGCACTATCGGCTTCAACACCCTCGAAAACCATGAAAATGACACCCAAGATGACAAAATTGATATCTATCGCAGCCGCCATCTTGGATTTACATTTCGACAGCACTATCGGCTTCAACACCCTCCAAAACCATGAAAATGACACCCATGATGAAAAATATGGTACCTAATTCAGCCGCCATCCTGGATTTACATTTCGTCAGCACTATCGGCTTCAACACCCTCGAAACCCATGAAACTGACACCCATGATGAAAAAATTGATATCAATTGCAGCCGCCATCTTGGACTTACATTTCGACAACCCTATCGGCTTCAGCACCCTCGAAAGCCATGAAAATGACACCCATGATGAAAAAATTGATATCTATTGCAGCCGCCATCTTGGATTTACATTTCGACAGCACTATCGGCTTCAACACCCTCGAAAACCATGAAAATGACACCCATCATGAAAAAATTGGTACCTACTTCAGCCGCCATCTTGGATTTACATTTCGACAGCACTATCGGCTTCAACACCCCTGAAACCCATGAAAATGTCACCCATAACAAAAAAAATTATACTACTTACTTTTAGCACAGTCTATTAATCCATACAGTCGTCCGACGAAGACGTCTAGATAGGGCAATCGTGCGGGGTGTGAGGGGTGAGACGCGGGAAGGACGAGCCCGAGCTTCTTATGCCAATCGTATTAGTAGCTCGGGACACGACTTCCAGGGTTAACGCGCGTTTGCTTTTATATTTTTTAAATTTAGTGTTGCTACTTATAATTAAAATGGTTCATACGACGTGTGGTGTGAGAGATTGCAAGTCGTCATCTTGCATAAATAAAGATCTGCGATTTCATCAAATCCCGCAGACGGAAGAAAGGTAAATAAATATTGTTATTATTTTTTACATTATGTATATTTTGTCATGTCATGCCAAATTGCCAACGTAAAAAAAAATGGCGGACGTAAATAATAGGTACTAATCGCTGGGCATTACTGTTTCGAAGTTTGATTTTTTTTCTTCATCTAAATCGTGTGGTTGGACAGGCTAAGGTTTTAGACCATACTATAGTGGTTCGTCTTCGGTTTTTTGGTTTTTTATAAAATATTAAGATTTAGGGGTCAATTTTTAGGTTTGTCGGTATGCTAATTACGAAAATAGCATTTATTTTTAAATCCAAGATGGCGGTCATTTTTTAATATATGTATGATATGGATGTCAATTTCAAGGTTTATTGGGGTGATGATTACGAAAACGGCATCCATTTTCATATCCAAGATGGCGGACATTTTTTTAATAATATGATATGGATGTCAATTTTAAGGTTTCTGGGGGTGATAATCATGAAAATTTATTAATAAGTAATGTATTTAAAAATTTCAGATGCAAATTATGGATGGAAGTTATTGGAAGACCTGATTTAGTTGGAAGAACTTTCGAAAGCCTAAAGATTCAATTATAAAATAAACTAATAATTCAATGTATGTAATCATTGTAACTTTAATAACAATATGGATATGATGTTTAGCTAAGAGTTAAGAACGATTTTATGTAACGAAATTGAGGTATGGCCACATATCGAGAATAGAGCACTCCCTCATGTTGTGAGGCGTGCAATTAACGTTTTGAGTACTTTCAGGAAAAATCTAAGAACAAATTGTTACTTATTTTTTATATTAGTAATTATACTATTGATGACGACGTAGATCTAAAATAAATAATTAAATTAATAAAAGTAGTTAATTTGTGACAACCCTAACCTCCATACGCTGTCTAGTCGTTGTCGGCATTTACCACGAGATCTTAGGCGTCGTCCTACTGTATGTTTATTATACTGTGCTTTTAGTACGTACTATTATTTATTCTGTGCTTTTAAATATTGCAATAAAAAAATCTCTTATTATTATTATAATCAAGTATTTAAGAAATTTGGTTATTCGAATATTGTGTATTTGTACAGCGATCTTTTTGAGCCGCTGCAAACAACCAAAACAATTTCGACTCACGACGGCGACTGAAGCCGAACTGAGGTATATATACAGTTATCTATGCGAACTGAGTGAGTAAACTACGCTGTGGCTATAGCTCCCCATTTACAGAAATAATTTACATACAAGGCTACCAAATCAACGAAAATTTCGCCATTTTGGAGCCGAAAAAAATTAATTATAGCTAAACAAAACAAAATTACACTGCCATTTACATTCAGTGGCTTCCCACATGATAGATGGAGAGATTAAAAAATAGATTGAGTTAAACAATTGATATTTTCAAAAGTTATTGTGTTTACAAGCCTTGGGGACGTGATAAATCCACACCATAAGCCACTAAAACCCCTTTTTTTATTTAAAAATAGCAATTAATCTATTTTAAAAAAATATTAATAAGTACAACAATCATTTATCTTTCTAACAATGTGCTTTTTATATCATTTATATGTATAATATGATTGCTAGATACGATTTTATTCGATAAAACGTTGGAATCTTAATTTTTAGGCGATAGTAGAACATACCTTGCGCTTTCGCTTAAGGTATGCAATTGTGTCGCTGTAGCAAATATTCCCCTTTTTGAGGCTATGTTATGGCCTATGTTCAGCAGTGGACTATAAAAGATTGAAGAACCTACATGTCACCTTATTTTGTAGGTTACATTAAACTAAATACGTAAAGAAATCAGCCGGCAAAAAGAGCCGTGGTAGCTCAGGGGCTACTAAGCGCTCACTGTAAATTTCACAGTACGCAAGCTACCCGGGTTCGACCCACGCAGGCTCCAAAGAAATTGTTAATTACAATTTTAAGTGCTGATTTACCACGTGATCGGCGGTGAAGGAAAACATCGTGAGGAAACCTGCATGTCTGAGAAGTAAAAAATAAATATTTAAAGATATGTCCGCCAACACGCATTTGGGCAGCACACTTCCTTGCCCTAAAACCTTCTCAGAAATGAGAGGCGGCCTGTGTCTGCAGTGGGGCGTATATATATCTATATAGGCTGTAACTTTAAGTTTTAATGTAAAGCAATGAGTACTACAAAATGTTTTTCATTACCCATATAAATAGATATTTATTTGTAATGAAATCTTTTGAATATGAAACAATGAGTGTATATTATCAGTACATAATCAGTTTATTATAACAATATTACATATTTAACATATGTTCAATGCTATTTAGATTTGCCTTTCTTTTTTAATTTCTGATCCATTTTTTGGAATTTTGTTTCTTTATTTTTATTTTTTTCATTTATTTGGCCTATTTTTTTCTTCTTTTTCAACTTGTTCTTTAACTTCTTTGATGCCTCAAACTGCACCTTATCAGATACATTGGTCTCTTTTTTATTAGGGAGGCTATTTATTACATTTACCTGATTACCTTTTTTAACTTTACTTTTTTTATTCTTTTTTGCTTTAGGACTTTCAGTGCCTACATGAGCTTGTGTTTTAACTTCTGAAGATGCTTCTGCTAATTTTGCTAGTTTGGGTGTATGTGGTTGTAATTTCTTTTTATTTTCACTGTCCATTTTGTTAGAATTGTCACCCTTGTTTGGAGTTTGGGTTTCACTATCTTTATTAGAATTATTTTCTTGACTGCTAATGCCAGCCAGTAAGTTTCCTTCTTTCCCTTTAATTTTGTTTTTCTTCTTTCGATGTTTTTTATTCGTTTTGGCATTAATTGTTACGGTTTCCTTTGATTCTTCACTAAAATTATAATTATTCAAATTTAATAAAACATAATTATTTCAGATAATATAATAATAATTTCAGACAAAAAAACATCCAGTTGTTAGTAAATAAAAACACTAATTTTTAATAAAATATATGTAATACATTTTTTTATATAATATGAGTGCCAAACGTGCACACAGTCCACCTGATAGTAAGTGGATGCTGTGGCACATAGACATCTACATCTACCCTTGATTAAGAATCAAAATGCAGATGCGCTGTCACCTCTGAGAACTAAGATCCTCATTTCCGTTAAAATGGGTCTCCGATTCTCTACACTCACCATGCGAAACTCAGAAGCATTGAGACTGCTATTTTACGCTAGTATTCTGTGAGATGGTGGTCCTTCCCAGGTCGAGCCAACCCATTTGATGGATTATACTTAAGGCAAACTAGGCACGTGCCTAGTGGCGCAAGTCAAAAAGGGGCGCTCAAGGTTCCTACATCGCACTCACTCTCCTATAACATTTTTCATTCACATCCACCTGTTAAGGGTACAAGTGTCCTAATTATTTTGAAACTCAACTGTATAATAAATTATAATATAGTTTATTTGCAAAATAAGTAGCTATAATTAATAATAATGGGGAGCGTGTTAAGGTGTTAGCATAAGGCGCTGTCGACATTTAATCCACCTGTGGCTGCAGCATGGCCATACCATGTTAAAAAATTTAACTCTAAATTAATATATCACTGTATTTAAAAAACCGGCAAAAAGCGAGTCGGACTTGCGCACTGAGGGTTCCGAACAAATCTGTAGGTATATAAGTTTAAAATTATTAAAAATATTTTTATTATATGATGTAACTAAAAATTTATGCTTTTCGCAATTTTTCCTTTATCTGTGCTATAAAACGTTGCTTCGTACCAAATTTCTGAGTTCACGGGAAGTACCCTGTAGGTTTTGATTCCCTTTCGAATGTCGAAAATTTGCGGCATAAACGGCTGTATCTTTTGATTTCGTTGGCTTAGAAGTTTGATTTTTTCACAGCTCCAAGGGACAGTAGACTTGAGTATTTGATATGAATTTTAGCTTGATACCTCCACGCGTTCCTGAGAAAAAGGTTCTTGACAGACAGACATACAGACAGACAGACAGACAGACAGACAGACGGACGGACGGACGGACGGACAACAAAGTGATCCTATAAGGGTTTCGTTTTTTCCTTTTGAGGTACGGAACCCTAAAAATCAAGCTCAAAAGGCTGATATAATTAAAATATAAATATCCAACTTTTACTACCTATTGTTGTCTGTAATCTTTTTCCTTTTCTGTGGTTCTTTTGCTTCTGAAGGGGCAAGTCTCTTCAGCGGAGTATGTGTGGAGTTTGCTACTATGTCCTTTTGTTCTGTTGAATTAGTATCACCATTTTCTTGCGCTACTTTGTCATCATTTGTTTCTGCAGCTTCATCATCTTCGTCTTTGAATGGTTCCGGCTTTAATAAGAATAATAAATTAATTTAAAAAAGTATGTAATACATTAAACTGTAATTCGACAAATCTTTTAAGCATATATGACATTTTACTTACAATGACATTTGAGAACTTTTTAAGTTTGGCCACAAAAAATCCATCCATGTTATGTGTATGTGGATAAAATCTTCTCGTCAATTTCAATGACGGATGGAATCTATGATGCCTATATTTTACAAAACCCTCTGTACCAAAGTCAAGACCAGTAGGCACTAATTTGACATTACGACGCTTTAAAGCATAATTTACTACCCATTCATTTTCTTCTGGTAGAATAGAGCACGTTGAATACACTATGTATCCTCCTGTACTTGACTTAGCATTACAACAATCTATAGCAGCCAATAACAACTGCCTCTGAAGATTAAAACACCTTTGGATATCTTTTTGATCTTTTGTTGTTTTAACACTTGGATCTTTAGCAATAACTCCAGTACCTGTACAAGGAGCATCCAATAAAACTCTGTCAAAACCTTTGATCACATTTGGAAATTGCCTACCGTCGTAATTACAAACAATGGCATTCACAACACCCAATCTATGAAAATTTCCAACAACAGCCTTTGTACGCTCTTTATTTGCATCATTTGCAAATAAAGCTCCAGTATTTTTCATTATTGCTGCAATATGAGATGCTTTCCCGCCTGGGGCTGCGCACATATCCAATATTCTTTCATTCTCCTGTGGCGCCAAAGCCATCACAGGCAAGAAACTTGAAGCACCTTGAATTATATAGTGACCTGCTAAATATTCAGGTGTGGCACCAATTGGTACTGTTGAACTATATATAACCAAGCCAACCTTACTCCATTTACCAACAGGGTCTAAATTCACGCCCCTATTAATAAGAGCTTGGGCCAAGTCACGCCTTCTTGTTTTGAGACTGTTTGTCCTTATGGTAACGGGTCGAGAAACTTCACTTGATTCTAAAAATTCAACAAGTTCTTGGACTGGGAATATTTGCATTAGTACCTCCATTAAAAATTCATTATAGCTATAATACATACATAAATCTTTTAGGAGCAAGTCAGTGTATTCACAACGGGATCTGCCTTCCTGCTTTAAGTGATTAAAATCACTTAAAACATGAACAACATCTTTAATTCTCTGATGAATATCTTGTAGACTGGTTGGATTTTGTAATTCTTCCTCTGTGGGAAATGCAAATATATCTTGCTTGGATATGTTTAATTGCATCTCTTCGTCAGCTAATTTTTTGTCCAGTTTTTGTTTCTTTTTCAGCTTCACATTAGCTTTCTCTATAGGTAACATATCATCATCGTCATCACCCTCATCATCCTCATCGTCATTATCCTTGATATCTTCATCACTAGAGTCAGAATCATAAGTCAATTTGCTTGTATCATTTTCATTATCTGATTTGTTTTCATCTTCATCATCATTGTCAGAATCTTCAAACAAATCATCCAATGTGCCAACCTTAAAAAAAGACATAATTAATTCATGGCTGTTATTAAAGCCTAGGCGTACGCGGTAAATTTCAGTGTAAAAGCACCATGTTCGATTATCACCTGCACTAATCAAATAGTTAATTGCAATTTTAAGTGCAGCTATACCATGTGTCACGCATCGAAGGAAATCATTGTGAGGAAACATGCATTTAAATAAAAAAGCTTTTTTTTATAGGATAGGGTTACAAACGAGCACACAGCCCACCTGATGGTAAGTGGTTGCTGTGACCCATGGACATCTACATCTATCCTCGTTTGCGAATCAAATGCAGATGCCTTGTCACCCTGTGAGGACTAATATGGAATGCCTCTTTTCCAATAAAAAGGGTCTCCGGTTCTCTACACTCACCATACGAAACACAGCAGTGTTAAACTGCTATTTTATGCTGGTATTCTGTGAGTGTGGTCCTTCCCCGGTCGAGCTGACCCATTTGTGCTACAACTATACTACTAATATAGCTGCAGCATGGCTCTACCACGTTGAAGAAAAGCTATTACTTAATTAAGCAATTTTTAAGTACATGATGAGGTATGTCAAAGAAATTTTATCATGGTAAAAGTTTATTATTTATTCACATTATGTGGAACAAAGAACGAAATTATTTTGATTTTGATTTCTATCTTTATTGTGTACTGTTGTTACACAAATAAATCATGTTACATCTACCCTCAAATCAACAAAGGATATTAAACTATACACTGCATATATTTCAAGTAACGCCAAATTCAAGCTAAAATCATGTGCACGCACACATGCGCATCTAAAATCATATGCAATAAACAACAAGGTTTTAGGACTGTTAAATAAAGAAAGAATAAAGATGTGTGCGAGAATGCGTGTAAAGAATGTGAGCATGGTTTTGAGTACCAATTAGAATGTAAACAGCACTTCATGTTCCTTTATTTCTTAGTCTGAGTATCTACTATACAATTTACAATTAGAGCCATACCAGTGCAGGAGGTATGAAATAAAATTGCTTGTATACAATGAAATTTAAAGTGACTGTTATACCCCTTAGCTTTTTCAGTGTTAATTTTATATATTTATATAATACTAGCTCACCAGGCAGACGTTGTTCTGCCCTCTTCGACGACCTTTTGTCCTATAAAAAATCCTTAAAAATATTGAGGGTCATTTATCGGGATAAAAACTATCCCATCTCTCAAGTTGGACCAAACTTAACGCAGTGTGCAAAATTTTATTGAAATCAGTTTAGTAGTCCATCGCGGACAAACAACGTGACACGTAATTTTTTATATATAAAGATGTAGTTTTATATAGTATAGTTAATTTAGCAAATTTCAGTGGTGTGATGTGGTCTATTCATTCCTTTCATTTATTCATTCAGCATATCAAAGTTCACAGCTAAACATAAACATTCGTCATTATTGCCTGGTATTTAACATAGTTGCCATGGATGGCAGGTGGTTTGAGCTATTAACACTAAGATACTGTTGCTCATCTCCTGTTTCAGTTTCTCTCTTTCGCTTCTTACAACACCCATGGGATGATATAGGGTAGTTGATGGTAGTGGTTGGTGTAATCATAATAGTATGTAAAAATGATATTCAAATAACAACTACTGAGTCATATAACATATCTAGTAAGTACCCCTATCATCTTTTAAAGACTTGTGTGGATTTCTGCTGTCTTTTTTTGAGTTGACGTAAGCCCAAAACGCCTTTGGATTTTCCTGGAACTCACTCTGCATCCGGTTTTTTAATTTAAATTTTAATGTAATTTTTTCCAAGTTGTAAACGGCCAATTGACTAAATTTTCAATTTGCAGTATCCTGATCGGGGTCACCAGAATAAAATAAAATAATAACACAATGAATTCTTATATTTACGCGTAGACTACACATTAAATGAAACTAATTTTTGCGGATTTTATCGCGTTAATTTTACTTTCTAATTCCCGACGTTTCGGCTGCTTTACAGCACCATTGTCACAGGGGGGGGGGGGGGGGGATACTGAGGTGTTTGACGTACCAATGTCATAGTTAGCCCGGCTACCTTCAGTTTTTAAATATTAATTCTTTTTTTAGTGCGATCTACGCATCTTCAAGATACTGTTAGTTCATTCTGCGTAGATCGGACCAAAAAAAAATTAATATTCAAAAACTGAAGGTGAATGAGGCACCGTTTATGTGCGCACTCCATATCATCAACCATATAGCAAAAGACATAGATCTATTTAGTTGTACTCCAAGTGGGTTAGCCAGCTCCAGCTCTCTTTGAAATAAGTTATGGTCCTACTGTGACATAGATATGGTATTTTGTAGTAGGAATAAGTACATATGGTCAATAATTATTAAATTGTAGCTGTATAATTGTAGTTTGTAAAAATAGTTATCTACATTATTGCATTAGGTGATAAACCTGTAATGATTGTATAGTGGGAAATAAATAAATTAATTAATTTAAAAAATCCATTACATAGATAGATAGACACCCGCGAAACTAATAAAGCGTATTAAAAAAGGCCGATTTCAGGACCCCAATAACCTTTTTAGACTAATAACTTTAAAATATTCTTTGCATTTAATTACCTTATATTTCTCTTTACCGCTACTAATTTTAGCATCTTCTTCATCCTTATCGTCATCGTCATCAGTATCCTGTTCAGCTTCAGAACTCATTTCATTTTCACCGTCACTTTCTGACTGCACTTTAGGTTTGGTTTTAACATTTTTCTTTAAAGTAAGCCACTTTTTATTATCGTCAGTGAAACCTTAAAATTGATTATAAAAATTATCAGAATGATTTTTTAATACATATGTATCAATATTTAATTCATGTTAAACTAATATTATACAATATTAATATACATAGCCTTCACATACACGTCAGAAATATGTAAAGGGGTGGTACCTACCCGGCATACACATAAGCAGAAAAAAAAGTCCTAGAAAGCAGCTAAATCACATACAATTGTAAATGTAAACAAAATCCGTGTCGGAGGAGAGCCGACAACCGAATGCCAAAATTGTAGTAGCAGCGAAGGCACAGTGAAGCATACCTTAGAAGATGACCTAGCTTGGGCTGAGCTGCATCAATCTCGTTACAGTTGTAGGGAAAGATTTTTAGCTCATAGCCTTAATAAAAGCTATTGTAACATCGACACAACCCTTATATCATTCTGCGGAGGAATTTTTCTAGTGGGGAAAAGCGAAGACGGCAAATGCTAGAGGACACCACATCAAGATTTACTTCACCCACATTAACGTGGTGCACACTGGGGTAAGATGGAAATCCATCACTCAAAATCCATCATGAGTTTTAAAGTAGTCAAGTTAGTAGCAAGTAGTAGTACTTGTAGTTATTGTACTAGTATTACATATTTCATTAAAAAGTGGTAAAATTAAAAAAATTGTACAACTGACTAGAATATAAATAAAATGAGAAAATCATCAATGTAGTTGAAATCAATTAAATAGGCATTATTAAAGATCTTAATCAAATTATATATGGGACCACATGAGAAGCACCAACTTTGAATTAAAAAAAAGAATCATCAAAAGCTTTGAAAAATGTTATAACACATTAAAAAAAATACAGTAGAATTGAGAACCTCCTCCTTCATGTAAAGTCTGTTGATAATGTGTGAGTGGCTACCTAATAGCAGATGATTACTGCACATATCCGCAACACAATAAGAATGCTTTGGAGGCCTTCTAAAATAGAGGTGTTATTCTTGAAGATCTTTGAGTCATATCGATGTAGAAAATTTGCTAGAAATGACGAATAATGACAAAGGCAGAGATCTTCTGGGGGTTGTACTGATCTAAATTTAACAGGCCCCATTGGAGACATGCTGATTCAATTATAAACACATTTGTGACAGTGATGGCTCCGTGGCGCAGTGGCTTAGCAATGAGTTGTTGTGCTGGGAGCCGCAGGTTTGAATCCCCCACGGAACAAGTATTTGTATGGCCTACAAATAATTGTTCCGCGTCTAGATGTTTGTCCTCGTGCAATCTATGTTTTAAACTGCCTCCACGATATTGGAGAAAATCCTAGTTTGGGGGTAACGTTTTAAAAAAATAGTGACAGTTAAGGCAGATCTTTCTTACAACGGGGAGGCCAAAGTCCAGTAGTGGACTTTTACAGGCTGATGAAGAAGAAGATATTAAAAAATACATTCCAACCTCCTTCGATTTCTTGATCAGAATTTAAATTCTCTTCATTTTCATTATCATCTTTCTTTTCCTTAACATTTTTTTTTGCTTGTTTTAAAGCCTTTCTCTTTTCTGCTATTTCAGCCTTTTTCTTTGCCCTTCTTGCTGCTCTCTGCTTTTGCCTGTGACTTAGTTTCTTATTTTCACTTTCATCTTCAACTATAAATACAAAATAACATTTAATTAATGTTAAGATATATAATTATCATGTATAAGAAAATAAAATAATAACAGGGATGTATAATTATTAACATTTTACACCTGGGTTGTGAAATGAATATTTATATGGCCTCCAAATAATAGACTAATAGATATGAGAAATGATATTTTTTACTGACTAAATCATATTGATATAGAATGATTGATAATATTGGGTTGATACAGTTTACATAATATGGAATATATTGAAATTTTCCTAGATTTTATGTTATAATTTGAATAGAAAATATGTAAAACATATTTATGAGAGGAAATAATGTAAAACATTCTGAAGAATTTTATGCAACGTAGATGCAAAGTGAAGTTAGATTTTCATACAATTTTATTAAAATATATGCTTTTAGTATGACTTCTGTTTAAGCATCCAACTGCTTTGAGCAATATAATTTACTAAAAAATCGTGCAGTTGGAGAGACGTTCGTCCTTAATTTCGCCATCCCCGCTCACTCTCCGATGCATATTAGCTTGTCTGTGTAAACCAGTAACAATGTTTTGACACTTTTTGATGGTTCATTACATTAATTATGAGTGCAAAAGTGAATTCCATGAAACGTAAATGTTTCGCAATTGAAGAAAAAAGTTCTATAAAAGTGTTTAGATGAGAAGTCTGATGAGATTTTTTTCACTCATAAGGCATCTTAAGCTCTGATAGCTGCAAAAGTGCTGAATGTGTTCGTATCATACTAATTTTGATTATGACACTGAAAAATATTGTCTCATCTTCACAATGCTGTTCGTAGTAATTACTATCGAACAAAAATTAATGTATAGCAAACCAAAATTACGGACTTCTTACACAAAAAAAGACAATTTATTAATACATACATTTGTATTGTGTTGTTTACCTACATCTTCTTTTATTCTTAACTGTTTGTTTGTTATACACAATACACAACTATCTATACAGTGTTTCATCTATACAAATAAATAAAATTAAAGTGTCTGTTTGTAATGACCAAATACCAGCTTTTTACTAAATGCATATGAAAATATATATGGTACTTATAAGAAAAATACAATTTTCAAAGTTTTTGTCTGTCTGTCTGTTTGTTCCGGCTAATCTCCAAAACAGCTGGACCGATTTTGACGGGATATTCACTGGCAGATAGCTGATATCACAAGGAGTAACTTAAGCTACTTTTAGTTTAGAAAAAGAATTAGGGTTCCGCAAAAAAAAATTAAAACCCCAAATAACACACAGGTGAAGTCGTGGGGAACAGCTAGTTAAAAATAAAAATTATATATTACATTACTTTTTTTTATTTTCTCTGACATTTGTTTATTACATACATATAAATAAAATCAAAATCATAGCACATATTTATTATACATAACACAACTGTAAATAATCTATCCATTTAGTGAGTTGTCCTATTAGCATTAAGTCATGTTGCTGGTCCCTTTATCCGGATTCTACTGTATAATATATAACATTGTCTAATATAGTTTCTACCAGAAGTAAAATGCATTTACTTTTAAATTTGAATGACTTTGTCTAAATAACTTGTAGCCCACTAGCTTGAAACATTTCTGCACAATAGGTCCAATTGCTAACCTCCACCTTTATTCGGAGTCAACTAAAATCTTTCCCTCATAAATTTTGAAACTTTAAATCAATAATTAATTTTGTAAAGTGAATTTCTCAAAAGTTTATAGTGAATATGATTCAGTAATTTAAGAGGAGCGCCACTTTTTTTAATCTTTCGACTAGCGCATCCTACAGCGTCTAAATCCAGATCAAATTCCACTAACTGTTATAGGACTGATCATTGAGATGGAAGTTTTTATCTGCATTCATGAATACAATTTTACTTCAACTGTGTCACAGTGTTAATAAAATTTATTATCCAGTTGATTCTAAAATAAATAAGGTAGAAAAAAGGAATTATATGGTTAGGTTTCATTGTTTTACAATGTAACTGAAAAGAAAATTCTCCCGAGTTCTGTGAATAGCATCCTATTAGGAGTGATTTAAAGATTTTAAGAATATTGCTTTACATGCACAGTACAGTTAAATTTGAAAACTACTTACGAAGTTCTTTTCTAAAAATAGGATCAGGTTGTTTACGTGCCTTTCTGCCGGGCCCTTTTTTTACAACTTTGGATTCATCAAATTTAGCTTTGCGACCCATTTTAGGGCGTAACGTAATAACTGTAAGCTATTAATGAGAAAATCATCAATTTAATAAAATTTAAAGCATTGAAAATACGACCACGCTAACATTTAAAAACACGTGCCTGTGCCTCACCACAAATTGCTATCAAATGTCACTGTCAAATGTCATTGTCAAATTGTCATAAGACAATTTTTTTATAACTGGCTTTACTGCTCTGGGTTCTAGCTTTTCTAAGCCTGAAGTTAAAATGTATAATTATCCTTCATAATATACTGCTTCACAATATGTTGATGCGTCACATTGTGCAGCCCTTAGGAGATTTTGATGGCAACTTGAGCCAGCAGACAGTTGGCGATGGTGTGTCAAGGCGCCTAAGCAGACCTTATCTTGAGAACTTGTTTCACGGTTTCCACTAATAGTTCACATGCGCAGACACTTATTACACAAAATCGCACCACTTTTACATATCAAAATCCACTTCAAACCATTATTTAAACAATAATACAGGAGAACAAATCATCACCGATCAAGTTTTGGGGGAAAGAGTATAGTAATATTTCGAAAAGACCCCTCAGAAGAGGGCTTAGACCTTAGAGTATAAATAAGTACGATATAGAGCGCGCGCAACGCTCATTGTCCATCATAGATTTAGTAACTAGCTAAAGTTAGAATAGATTGGCAATGCAAAAGAGAAAGAACATAGTTTACGCATTTATTAGACCGAGAAAGATAGACTAGATCATTCGCGTACACGCAATAACAAATGTCACTGTCAAATGTCAATGTCAAATTCATCATCATCATCATCATCATTACAGCCCTTCACAAGTCCACTGCTGAACAAAGGCCTCCCCCAAGGAATGCCACAAAGCACGGTCCTGAGCCACCTGCATCCATCGACTTCCTGCATAACTTACCAGGTCGTCACTCCATCTAGTGGGGGGACGCCTAACACTTCGCCTGCCGGTACGAGGCTGCCACTCGAGAACCTTTCTTCCCCATCATTCCATATCATTCAGCATTGTTAACAACATTTCTGTATAAAATAACTACATACCATTGAGACATAAGTAACGTTTGTCTGTCTGTCCGAGCTAATCTTCGGAATGGCTGAACCGATTATAATAAAACTTTACAACAAATAGAGTAATACCAGGAGTGATCTAGATTAAATGTTATCTGAAAATTTTAGACATTTTATTAAAAAATAAAAATTGATAAGATAAAATAAATAGTGTTTAATGATTATCGAGTATTCCATATGTATTTCATAGACATAGAACATACTAACGTAATATTGTATTTCTAAGTATAAATATATACTATACACTATTTATACAGTTACTCTATAACATTTATTCAGTATGTGTGTAGTGTATTTACCATAGACTTAGGATATACTGGCGTATAGACGACCTGACAGCCCGAAAACGCGTGACCAAATTTGATTTGTTATTGTGTGAATTGGCTAGTGATGTACATTTTACTGAAAAGGACTATCGAAAAATTATTGTTCAGAGACCGGTATAAATACTAAAAAAATAAGTTAGTGCACGGAACTGAATAACTTTTGTGCACTAATTTATTTTATTAAAAATTAATTGAATTTTTACCATGATAGTTTTAAAATAATTAAAAATAGTCAAACAACATGTTACCGGGAATAAGCTGCACACACCAGCCTTTTCCACCATCCATAATCCATTACAGCCTATAAAAATCCACTGCTCAAAATGGGCCTCCCTATAGCTAGCCTCATAGGGGGGGTAATTTGCCTTCGCTTAGCCAGCGGGTTATCAACCACAGTTTTTTATTATTTCGAGTTGTTATCAGGAAGATAATGCTGCCCATCGCCTCTTTCAGTTTACCTTTGGCGCCTTTTATGGCACACATGGGACGATATTGGGTAGTGAAAATTCTGTGACCGGCACCACTTGCCTTTTCTTGGACTTTAATTCAAAATGTACAAAATTGCAATAATATCTGAAATGGTGAGGTAAGTCTACCGCTAAAATGAAACAATTTTCTCCAAGAATCAGATCGGAAAGTTATATTTTTGACTATAGAAATGTATTGTGACATCAAATTTTCGTAATTGTTCTTATATTTGGATGCAGACACTATTTTACCACATTTTTATCATTAACCCTGTTAATTAAATTCTGTATCAATTCATTGTTACATGCCATGGTGATATCGCTATAGTGATCTTTCAATCCTGGTCTTGAATGAATTTCTTCAAGCGCGTTTTGCAATGTAACAATTTTTTTTCCTGTCTTTTAGTTTTCGCTGCTAAGCTACGTATTTTCTTCTGTTTTTCTTTCAGCTTTAATTTCTCGATTTTTGATAAGCTTTTTTTTCTTGGAGTAAATTGATCACTTCTTTCTTGTCATTTCAAAGGTGAAGGGGTTATGTCACGAGTGACATGATGAGGCTCCTCTTTCTTTCATCTGTCCCTGAAAAATATAAAGTAATAATAAATTTATTATCATCTGCATGAATTTAAAAAATATAATGATCTTAACAAATAACTTAAAAAAAAATTTTAAAAGTCAAATACGCTGGAGACATTAAAGTGCACCAAGTGTCCGAGGATACAGATGCACTCTTCTATTCTCTCAATCGCAGTATGTTAAGAAAACGGTCACCTACACATGGACCGACCGCAGCAAGTGCACCTTTATCTTGCAGATCTATTGATCTACGTAACTGTTACTTAACTACGAGTTCCTCTTCTCTACGACTAACGCAGTAGGTAATGAACCACACTATGAAGCCCTCGGCACACTGTCATCTAGCATCAAGCATGAATCGGACATCAAGCGTTGCGCGTATCAAATACTATGAAATTTATACTATCCTTGTACACTAAACCGCGCGCCTCATGGCATCTAGTGGCGCTTCAGGAACTTTACTCAATAACCATACCTAACTACGCTAAAAGTTTTATCATTGTGACTTAGGAATATATTCCAAAGCTCCGCACAACCCCTTGGGGAAAATATATAATAGTAGAGATAGAGTTTTATAATGTATAAAAATCTATATCTATTTTCACCTCAAGTTTTTGAAGTTAAATTTTTATACCAGCGTAAAATAGCAGTTTAACACTGCTGTGTTTCGTATGGTAAGTGTAGAGAACCGGAGACCCATTTTACTGGAAAATAACATTCTATCTTAGTTCTCACGGGTGATAACGCATCTGCATTTTGATTCGCAAACGAGGATAAATGTGGATGTCTATGGGCCACAGCAACCACTTACATCAGGTGGACTGTGTGCTCGTTTGTCACCCCATCCTATATAAAAAAAAGAAGTCTTATTGTAACAATAATATACTTACTGGTACAAATAATGTAGGAATGGCTCTTTTAATAAAGTTGTATTCTCTCTGCTTTTTCTTATATGTTTCTCAATAAAATGTTTACTACAAATTGTAGAGTTCTTCTTAAGATTCCAACCAACCCGCCCAATTAATGCCAACCATTTTTTTCTAACTGAAGGATCCAGAGGGAATCTGTTTGATAAGCGGCAAAATAAAATTTTGTTTTTAGAACGCAAATCGAGGATTTAATTTCATTCTTCTTTTTGTTGTGTATAAAAGTCTATCGATTCTTTATACACATTAAAGATAAATATCGACATTAATTTTGATATAGTTGAGTCAATCCCTAGCGTAAATGTAAAATATTTTGTTTAAAAATGAATTCACCAAAATCATACAAATTATCAACAATGTGACTTTTTTAACAAAATTAATAAAATAATTGAAAATATTATATATTTTAAACAGTATATAACATAAATTTTAAGCAAAAATAGACGTGTGTTATTATTGACGACGTCTTGCGAATTTACCTGTGAAATGTGCAACCATCAGGATTACTTCTATTGTTGATACCACAGTCACTAAAGGAACATGAAACCATTTTAGAAAACTATAAATTATACAAATTTACACTATTATAATCTAAAAACACACAAAATATCTACAAGCTTATTTCTTGCGCGGCGACTTGCGCCGACCTGTCATTCAAAATCGGTTACAGAGTCATAAGATTTGGTATCCTCTTCTATCTTGCATTTTTGCCATAAGGAATTTTTTTTTATTTTATTTTATTAGATTACCAACGATTGTTACATTACTCAAAATCTTAATTGCTAAAGCTTAGTATCTAGTACATAATGCACAATCACTTATAGGTAATCATCGCTTACACAATATAACATTAAATAATAAGGCAAAAGACTAAAAGCTACATCTCTAAAATGTGTTTTTTGAATTTATTGGTTGTCATACAATGTACGTCAAGGATTTGGTGATGGTCACAATATTTGTTATAAATATGGCTCATTCTAGATATCGAGGAATTCGATCCTAGTAGTGTCCTACGGAATGGGCATACTAGAGGCTTAATAGGAGCACGAGGTATTCTCTGCGGCACTCTAAAGCAAAATTTTGGGAGGAGTTCTGGAGAGCATATGTAGTTTCTAATAACTTTATAGAAGAACATTAGGTCAGTTATATCTCTTCGCTTGTCCAGTGATGTTAACTTAAAGTATTTTAAAGATTTAGAGTACGAATAGGGATTACTTAGCTTGCCAACGGAGTACGATAAATGACGTATGAACCTTTTTTGAATCCGTTCAATCCTTAGACTATGAGTTGCAAAATGGGGACGCCATACTACACTTCCGTATTCTAAAATTGAGCGCACTAGGCTGCAGTAGAACAAAATTTTGGTTGCTGGTTTTCTGAAAAATTTTCCATTTCTTATTACGAAACCTAACATTTTTGATGCTCTCCTTGTAGCATGATCAATATGATTGACGAATGTTAGTTTTTGATCCAAAAGAATACCCAAATCTTTGACCACATTTACCTCTTTGATCTGAATGCCTTCGATATGATAAGTAGTTGGAATAATTTTAGATTTCCTAGTAAATTTGATGTGCACACATTTATCTACGTTCAATTTCATGCCGTTTGTTGCACACCAAGCCACTAAGGAGTC